TGAGAAAAGACATGTTAGGAGCATAGGGCAATGGCTTGAGAGCATGGGGTCAGGTCTGAGACAGGGAGATTAGGAAGTAGTCCTTGTAAATCAGGTGGTCAATGAGAGAACAAAACAAGTGGACAATAAAGGCAATTGTGACATTACAGGGCTGGTTGGGTGTAAAGGGTAAGGAATCAAATCTGACTTTTGGGATTCTAATTCAGACTACTGGTTGCAATGTGGGTTTTTGAAATATGAAAAATGAGAGGAGCAGGTTTGCAGTTGAGTTGGATTTATGGGCTGGAGGTGGGTGAAATGATTACAATTTTGGACAAGTTATTTTTCCCAAGTAGAGATGTCTAGAAAACTTTGACTATAAGGATGTAGAGTTTAGAACAAGGATCAGAGCTGGAGATAATGATAGAAGTTGAAACCAGGGGAATGTAGAGATCACTCAAGGAGAGTTATGTAGCATACACAAAGAGATGCATGTGGCTGGGAGGGATCACAGCCAATTTAAGATGAAGTGAAGGAAGAAGATTTTTCGAAAGATTTTTGAGAAGGAACAAGCAAAGAGATAAGAATACAATAAAACAAACAATAAAGTGAATCTTCCATGAGACTTTGAAACTAGTAGAGCTAATTTATTGCATATAGTTGTCCTTTTCAACTGTTGGAGAAGCATTCCAAGACCCCCAATGGATGCCTAAAACTTCAAATAGTACCAAATCCTTTAAGTGCTATGCTTTTTCTTTATATAACAATAAAGTTTAGTTTATAAATTAAACACTGTAAGAGGTTAACAACAATAATAATAGGACAATTATAACAATATACTGTACTAAAAGTTACCTGATTGTGTTTTTTTTTCTCTTCACCACAATTAAAATTGAACACAAATAAATACCAAATATATTGAGCACAGAAAAGTAGAGTTGTAAATAAAAAGAAGGACAATAATTAAATCATCAGGAAATGTTTGCCAAGGAAAATGTCCATATGTCTAAAATGTGTTCTTTGCAGAAACAAAACTAAACGAGAAAATGAATAGTTTTTTGACAAGTCCAGCTATGGTGGCAAAGGCAGAAGGACACTGTTGCATAATGTTGACACCACATGGGAGACCCAAGTTTGGATCCCAGGTTGACTTGAACATACAGAGTGGGTCCATGCATGCCTATAACCCTGATCTGATGAGAGGTTTTGGGGGGAATATCAGAGCATGGTGAGCTCCTGACAAGGGTTCTCTCTCTCTCTCTCTCTGAACAAATAAATTTTTAAAAAATTTGGTGAGAAAATTCTATAAAATATTTTAGCTTATTTCTGCCACAGAATGTTGAGTTAAGCTCATTTTTCTCTTACCACATTAATAATAGTCATAATTATGCTGCAAGATAAGTAATCACAAAATATTCCCAACATAAAATATTTAGCATATATTTTCATCTATATATCTGCAGGTTTTAATGGGGTCAGCTGATTTCTGATGTATTAGTTAGGAACATTTTCTCTAAGACATATATCTGGCTGGCTGGCTGGGTTGGAAACTCTTGGTATTTTTGTTTTGTGTTGTTTTTGTTGATTTATTGATTGATTGCTCTCTTCCTGCTTGCAAATATTCCCTCTGGGTGCTAGGCTGAGGAAAAAGCAGGTATACTTGGGACGCTCCTCTTCTGGAGAAGGAGAGCAAGACCAGGCATGTGAGTGCTTTTTAAGCCTCTGCTTGCATCATGGTATTGAATTATCCAAGGCAAGTATGTAGATAAGCCTTAAATGAAGAGATGTATTCTCCTCTTGGGGCTGAGGGAAAAAGACAAAATTTTTTTTTTCTTTTAGGTTTTTGCTATAGGGCATGTGTGCTCACCCGAAAGACAGAGAGGGACAGAGAGACAGAAAGCGAGAAATCACCCCCCAGAGTGGATGACCATGCTGCTATTCCTTCTCCTCCATTCTCTTGGGATCTTGGGCATGCACACACATGCGCCCAGCGTAAGTTTAAGCCAACGAGTCTGGGACTCGAACTGCAGCCAATTACATGGGAGTCTAGCGACATAGCCATTATACCAATTGCTGGTCCCAAGACAAAATGTTTTTAATGGAAGTAGGGTGAGGGAAAAAGACAATATTTTTTTTAACACAATTATCTTCTACCACACTTGGATATTAAGAATAATTATATTAATTACTTCGTATGCTGTGTTGTAGGTATTTATGCTCCATATAATTAAAGTAAATAGAAGGATCATTGGTCTCTGATTAAATGATCCATCCTGCTGTCTTCTGTAGCTGTAATTTCTTAATGCTACCATTGTATCTATAGATGCTTTCACCTTACTGTTTTCTTTTTTTAAAGAATATTTAATTTTATTTATTGAATTAGTTATTTTTAAAATTTGACCAGAGAGACACATAAATAGAATAAGAGGGAAGTGAAAGAGCAAGCCACCAGGTCTGGACTTGGACCATGGTCAGTCATGTGGGAGTGTCCAGTGCCTTAACCATCACACCACCTGCTGGCCTCTCACTGTTTTATTTCTTATAGGGCTTTTTGAGTGAATATTTATTCATGATAACTAGCCTATTTAATGAGACTTTTCTTCTTGCTTTAATATGTTTCCTTCTTATTCAGTATTGTTATAATAAGTGGTCATCTGACATTGGGAGAAATGGACCATTACTGCACTTGTATATTTTATTCAATCCCCTCTTCCTAAAAAAGTGACAAATACAAAGATTTTTCTTTTGGAAATATGAGCTATATTTCCTTAAAAAGTATCTCTGTGTATCTACATGATGTCTGTATCTTGAAAGGAAGCTCTTGATCAATTAAGAGATGAAGAGCATCGAGTTGCAGAGGTTTTAAAAAATTAATTAACATTTTATGTGTGTGTTCATTCTTTATTCAGATTATGAAGGCTTTCAGACATGCAGAAGAGAGCTTATCTATTATTTATGTGACTGAAGGCATCACATTTCATTGAAATAAAAAATACATATAGTTCTTTCAAATAAGAACTGAATATTCCAGTTAATTTGTGTATTTGCAGCAGGTACCAAACACTCAGTCATACATCTACCGTTCGCCCTTTCACAATCTGTAATGCCTCTGCACTGCATTTATATACGATCCATTTCATCATGCAAAATAATTATTCAGGTGCTCTGTACTCTAGTTTTATCCCGAGCAACAAAGTTCACAGAATCGTCATTTTGAAGTGTGTGGTGTTTATTTTTTTTTCAGTGCACATCAACATAAATACATAGTTATTAAAATAAAATGCCCTCCATATCATCTTAAATAGTTTTTAGCTATCCTCACCTGGCATAGTATGTTCTGAGAAACACTATTTTTTTTTCTTTAAGTTTAATTATTTATATCTTCTGTGAGCAAGAGAGAAAGAGGCAGCATCCCCTAACAGGGTCTTGACACACTGTCTATCCCAAGCTTCAGCCAGGCCTGGATCATGTCTATACATATGTCTGGCCTGATCAGGGAGGTCATTGGTTCCAAACCCATAACCTCCCCATGTGGGTCAGCCTCATCACATTTTTGCCTCCTGTCCAGCCTGTAGGAAACACTCATGCCAGGGTCCAGCCTCGGTGGGTGTGGGTTGACTCGTTGGAGGCAGCACAGGAAAGGAAGACTAAGGCCTCGGTGCCTTTTCATGCACGTCCTCAGTCGGATACTCCCCAGAGATCACTCTCTGTAGAGTGACAACTGCTAGGAATTATGGTGCCTTTTTATTGAAAATGTGATACATGTAAGTAAATGGGTGAGAGACTACGTGTTCTAATTGTCAGTTCATAAAGTTTTAACAATAGGGATCATAGATTCCATTCAGGGTTGGATTAAGGGTGGGTCTATTACAGTTCAGCAATTGTTTGTTTGATGTAGGCAGGTCTTCAGAACCTTCATGGAATGCCATTTCGGGAAATAGCCTCCAGCAAGCAGAGTTAATTATCAGCCGATACTCAGCGGCAGCCATCTTGTGATCTGAGTATGTAGAAAATTTCAAGTATAGGTATTAGTTCTTATGGATCTCAATAAAGAATGATACTTATATAGTTTTATAGGGATCTAAAATTTAATTTAAGGAATCTTAATATATTTATCTATTTCACTTTATGGGGGCAGGGGTGTCCTGGGCCAGTTTCGGCCTAATCCTATTTTATGTAAAGAAAAGATTATTCTTAAGCTTATGTTAAATGTATCTTGAAGGGCCTTCCAAAGGTCAAGAAGATTATTTCTGCCTAGATAGAACTTCAGCACATCCTCTATTGTGACCACAGGGATGAAGCATTGTAATTAACAGTAGGTGGTCGGGGGACTTTTGGGAAATCTTATCACATACTCAAGAGAGCTATGTAATTCTTTTATAGTACTATATCAGGGAGTCAGAGGGGGGTCACTTCCCAGCAAGACTACCGCAGTCTCTGGAGCATACAACAGGTGGCCTTGCCAACATGCTGAGTCAACCCAAGCTTTGCTCATAGGTCAGGGGCATACAGCAGCTGTGTTGTCAACATGCTGAGCTGACCAAAGCTGTGCTCAAAGGTCAAAGGCTCTAAACAGATCCTGGAGACCTACCGGGTTGGACTCCTCCACACTTATTGTTTGTGTGTGTGTGTGTGTGTGTGTGTGTGTTTGTGTGTGTTTACTTGTTTCTAGGTTTTTGCCATGGGGTATGTGTGCTCACCAGAGAGAGACACACAGAGAGAGGTAAAGTGAGAAATTACCCTTTAGAAGGGATGGCCATGCCACAATGCCTTCTTTTCCATTCTCCTCTTGAGATTTTGGGTATGCTTGTACACGCGTGTGGCATGATTTTCAAGCTCTGGGTCTGGGACTCAAATGTGGCTGGCTATGTGGGAGTCCCTTATCTTAAACACTATGTCACCTGCTGGCCCCAGGTAACACTATTTTCAGGTTAGTACTACAAAACTAGAAATCTAGGAACTTGGTTAAACAAATGTATTATGGAAGGCATCTTCACTTTTACTCTTTAATTATTTTTCAGGTTTGTGGAAGGAATGCTAAACATTTGTTACAATGCCATTGACCGTCATATTGAAAATGGTAAAGGAGATAAGATTGCTATCATCTATGATAGCCCTGTTACAAATACAAAAGCAACTATAACCTACAAAGAAGTTCTGGAGCAGGTAATATCATACATTTTCTATAAATATTATAAGTCATGTAGAAATTACATACATTCTCAGTGTGTGGCTTTTAATCCTTGTAATATGTTGACACATGTTACCATGTGTTATAGTTTGGATAATGGGTCATCCCCCAAAGGTTTATATTTTTGAAGTTGGTCCCAGGTGTGATCGAGTTCAAGAAGTGAGGCCTAATGGGCAGTGATTGGATCACAGAAGCAACACTCTCATGAAAAAAATGAATGATGTCTTGAGAGACCCAGCTCTTGTGTGAAGGGGTTAGTTCTCATGAGAGTGGCTGTTTAGGGGAGAGAACTGTCCACAGTGTGCTCACTCTCTCTCCATATGCACCTGCTGCCTTCTGCTTCTGTCAGTCATGTTCCAGTCAGCAAAATCATAAGACAATAAACCTCTATTTCTTCATAAATTACCCAGTCTCAGGTATTTCTGTTAGCAATGCACTAATAGACTAAGACACCAGGGTTTTCTTAAAATGCACATTGGGAGTGAAAACAGGTGTGTTAACTCATGTACACTGTTTTATACCTTCTATTTACAGTTCATGATACTGGAAGATGCTCATTTTATGGAGAGAGATGCTAGCAAATCTCAAAAATGTGTTTCAGTCTTCTTTTGGTCTTTGATCTCCAGGCACATTGATATCACCTTAGTCCAGTCCATGAGTAGCTCTTGTACCATTGAGGGAGTTTCCTGCTTCACTGATACCAGGCTCTGTTCTTATTAGATTGTCCCCTAAGTGACTCCAGGGTTTCTTCCTAAGAAACAATGTATTTCTCTACCGTGTAAATGGCTTTCCTTAGCCATTATTGCCATTCAGATAGTGAAATCCAGACACCTGTGATACATGACACTGGAATCTGACCATAGCATCCCTGCCAGTGTCATTTCCCTACGACCTCGGTCAGGCACACAGCTCTTCCCACCCCTTTCCCCACCCTAGCTGTCCTGTCTTTCTCTGACACTCCTGCCCTGTACAGCTCTTTGCATGTGTTCATTCCTTGCCTTTCATGCTCCTTTTAGTGATTTTCCATCTGTGCAGTTCTTGGGGTGGATCATGATATTGACAGATTAGTTATGAGAGTTTTCCCTTTGAACGTTAGGCTGGGCATAGGTTTCAGAAGAAATTATAAAATGTTTGAGTATTGTGGAGCATTGAGAGGCTCCTTTAAACTCTTTAGAGGATTAATTTACCTATAGGTTCAAGGGAGATAACGGTGTAGCCTAGAGTTTTCAATCTCTGCACTATTGATGTTTTGGATTAGGTAAGTCCTGTTGTGGGGGCTTTCAGTTACACTTTAGGGTGTTGAGCAGCATCCCAAACTGTGATAACTAAAAATGCCTCCAAACATTGTTACTATCCCCTAGATGACAAAACTCCCATTGATTAAGAAGGGCTGGTTGAGAAGAATATGCCATGCTAGGGTTTGGAAGCATTTTATTTTTTTAGTTTGGTATGGGGCATGAGCACTTTCCAGAGGGAGAATGTGAGAAATCATGCGTCACAGAGAGTGGGCACCCTGCAATCCCTTCTCCTCTGTCCTCCTCTCAGGATTGCACACACACACACCTGACATGTTTTTCAGGTTGCCAGCCCAAGACTCAAACCACACAATCTGCCATGTGGGATTCATTTGCCATAACCACCACTCCACTAGCTGGCCCAGTATTTGCTTTTAACTGAAAGCTTTTTGAATTGCATAATCTCCTTTTCCTTCTTTAACCAGTTTAAGGGTATGCTCTATTTTTAACAAAATTTGGTCAACTCTGATTCTCTAAAATTATATGTAATTCACCTGTGTTCCTGTTTAGACTTGTAAGAGATTAGCCATGAAGCGAAACTAGGACAAAACTATTATCTCTCCATCCTGAGTTATTGCAGACAAGAAGGAAAAATTAAGACGGCTTGCTTAGGCTAGGTATCAGCTTAGTTGCAGCAAAAAAAATCCTAATTTCAGCTGATTTAAACATAAAAGAGAATTTATGAAAAAGGAGAGCCGAAGAAACCATGTTCATAAAAATGGTATACCTTTAGGGAAGGGGGTGGCAGTGAAGAGTTAAAGAGAATTCACAGATTGTCTGGTAACTAGATTTGCTGTCTTCAGTCAATAACCTGGTTTGAAAGACAGTGAGGGAGCATCTACTAGGTGGTCGGGAGAGTTATGATGTTTTTCTATGCAAAAATGTATACCGTCTTTCCTGACAACCCAATAGTTGGCCATAAAGGTAACCTGACTCAGCTACCTGGCAGTGGAAAGGAAATGTCTTGTCCTCTTCTGATTTCATAGTAGAAGTTGGGCCTCTGTATCTCTCCTGGACACATGCAAGAGGAATTCCAGGCTAAAAAGAATGAAGTTCAAATGCTGGGCGGTCAAGACAGAATAAAGCCTAACACAATAATGCTGCAAATACATTGTTTGATTCCTTTTACTGGTCTGTAAGTAGTAACCCTATGTTTTCAGAATTGTTTACAGAGGCAGCTCACATTAAGGAAGGGAGGGAAGGCACTCTGTTACCAAATGAGCTTGTTAGTCATATGAGGCTGAGTTTTATTATAAGATAATGTAAACCAGAAAATCTATTATACTGCATGTTTTATTTTAGGTTTGCCATTTTAGTTTTCGGAAGAGATTAGTCTGTGATTAAAAACTCCTTCCTACGATTTGAGAATATAAGCCACAACCTCATGCTGTGAAGATAAAAACTTATAATACTGGTGAATTTCCATTAGTATGCAGATTAGGAACCATTTTTATATATTGTAAAAGTATTATCTATAGCAACACATTTAATTTGATACATAACCAATCATCAGATTTAAAGAAAAAACTTTAAGGAAACCTAAGAGTTGTTGCCATTTTCACTTTCTGTTGTTTTCTTTATAGATTTATTAATTACATAAGTATATATAATAATTATGCACGTATGTTTGCTTGGAGTTTTTCTGCTAACTCATCTTGATTTTTTAATATCAAGGCTACCCTTTAAGACCCGTTTTAGTTTTTTTTTTTTTTTGGAGAGGTTTTCACTATAGGGTGCATGCGCTCGCCAGACAGACAGAGAGAGACAGAGAGACAGAAAGCGAGAAATCACCCCCCTGGGGGGATGGCCACTCAGCAGTCCCTTCTCCTCCATTCTCCTCTCGGGATCTTGGTCACACACGCACACGCACTTGGCGTGAGTTTTAAGCCACCGGGTCTGGGACGCAAACCTCAGTTGACTATGTGGGAGTCCAGCGACATAGCCATTACGCTAACTGCTGGTCCCCTTCTAAGACCCTTTTGATGTTTGTAGTGGTTCATTGATTTCACTTTAGCCAGACATCAAAATACTTAAAAGGACTGCTTCTTTCACCTGTTGACAGCCTCAGATTTTCTGACTTTTTTTTTCTCTAAATACTAAAGGAAGAACTATTAGGAAAGAAGAAGGAGGCATTGCATGCTACTTTACCTGCTCTTGGGTTTCTGTTGCCTTTATTTTATTAAGTAGAGAAGAAGGAGAAAGGAAGATTTAATGGGTAATGTCATTGAGGACGAACAGAAAGAAGTGCCTTTGTACATTCCTTGTTTTAATCTCTCCTTGTTCATTTCTACTGAAAGTTCCTGTCTAGGTAAAACTTGACCAAGTTAGTATTTCTTATTTAATTAGTGAAATGATCAGTTGTAGGCAAAATCGTCTTAGTCATATGACATATCTGAAAATTTTGCAGAATGATTTGGAAGCAGAGTTTGACTGAAACTGTCATCTCTCCTGTAGATTTAAAGATTTTAAACAACCCTTTATTAAAGATTTTTGGGACCAGTAGTTGATGTAATGGCTATGTTGCTGGACTCTCATGTAGTCTACGGTGGTTCAAGTCCCATACCTGGTGCCTAGGCGTGTGTGCGTGCCGGGAGGAGAAGGGATTGCGGCTGATCATCCCCCCCGGGGGGTCGATTTCTCGCTGTCTCTCTGTCTCTCACTGTCTTTCTGGCGAGAGTATACACCCTATAGCAAAAACCTCTCCAAAAAGAGTTTTTTAAAAAGTTTTCGTACACAAATTTGAGCTCCAATGAGATCTATCATTCATTCAACAATTTTTTTTTGAGAGGTTTTTCACTATAGGGCTCATGCGCTCGCCAGCCAGACAGAGAGAGACATAGAGACAGAAAGCGAGAAATCACCCCTCCGGGGGGATGGTCATGCCGCAATCCCTTACCCTCCATTTTCCTCTCAGGATCTTGGGCATGCATGCACACACGCCCGGTGTGAGTTTTAAGCCACCGGGTCCGGGACATGAACCGCGATTGACTACATGGAAGTCCAGCGACATAGTCATTATGCTAACTGCTGGTTCCCCATTCAACAAATTTTAAAAGAATTATTAAATTTAATTAATTAATATTTTTATTTGACCAGAGAGGGACAGAGCGAGTGAGAGAAAGAGAGAGTGAAAGCGAGAAAGCAAGCTGCCAGGTGTGAAACTTGTAATGTGGTCTGCTATGCGGGAGTCCAGCATCCCTCATCACCACACCACCTGCTGGCCTCTCAACAAATTATTTTTAATGCAAACCTTGATGGGAACAAGGGATACGATGTAAACCAGCACAGTCTTTATTGTCAAGGAACTAAGAAAACATGTAAACAGGACATTTCAATGTAACATAATAAGGATTATGGTAGAGATTACTGATAAATTCTCTGTTGTTAATTTATTTCTTCTGGAAGTGAGAGAAGTCATCCCTAGCATTGTCTTCATGCTGGGATCCTACTGCCTGCCACAGTCAGCTAGGATCATGGGTGCACGTGCACAGAGAGATTTCTGAGGGCCACTGGCAACCTGCCCATATGGCCACAGCAACACAGAGCATTGCAGTTCTGTTCCACCCACCGTGACTGGCCAGGATTATGGCTGACTTCTGTGGAAACACCTGAGAAATCACTCAAGGGTACATAGAGTCTACGAAAGCTTTCTAGAAAAGTCCATGATAGAAGTATCTCAG